TCATTCTGCTATTATATGTTGATGCCATAGAAAAAGTATAGTATATATTCTGAAGGGGATGCTAATTTCCCTCTCGTATGATTAGCGAACTCCATACTACTGTCATTCGTGCTCTTAGTGTAGCTGCAGTGTTCATAAATGAAAATCTGACTCTTCAATGGGTGAATCAGAACCTAGATATTATTATTCGAAGTATCCGAACATGAATATATGAAATATTTGGGAAGGAGATTTCATGATTTGGTATTTACTTACGAAGTGTGTTTTGGAACAGGAGTCATCATCATCTATACAAATCAGGTGAAATGAAAATGATATATACTGGAATACTTGAACTTGATTCATTATTATTACGATCACAATGATTTCAATCACACTTCTTTTTTTTAGCCAACCTACGCAATGACTGTAACTCAGAGAATGTGCATTTTTCGACACATGTTTATGTAAAGAAAAAGTCTCATTTTGATCCAAACGATACCTCCTTGAAGTATTTACATCGAATTTTGAATTACTCTGTATATGTAAACACTGTTGATGGTTCTTTCAACTTCCATTCCACTCCGCGGCGACGTGAGCTACAAAACAACCATTGGTTTTCTAATTTTTTGAAATCAGATCACATGATCAGACTGATAGTGATTTGATTAATTCAAAAGAATGATAAAGATGCCTGCAAAAAAGGGCAATTCGTCTCGTGGGTGATGCCTCGCTCACAAACTCACTCTTTTCTCTGGAACACCGTAGAAAAGTTGGCGATCTGGCTCTTTTTTATAGATATTTTCATGGACGATGCTCTTCTGGAATATCAACAATTGTACCTCCCTTGGCAGTCCCCGCGAGATTAAGCCGTCGAGTTGAGGCTTCGCACCCCTTCGTGGTCACTTTGGAGACCTGCAGAACATCTCTTTCCAAAGACTCGTTCATCCAACGAACAGCGAGGCTCTGGAACACATTGCCAAAGGAGGTGTTCCCCGAGGCATATAACCTCCAGAAATTCAAGAAGAACACCAATTCCTACCTTATTTCCCTTGGTTCTCACGATGTTCTCTGAACATTGCATCAGGATATCCCTTTTCGTGGGAACCAGAACATTAAAAAAAAACAGTACATTTTAGCTCAAAGCCGAGGGAGACAACACAACCGCGAGCTAATATCTAATACTTTTCCCTTGTATAATAAATAACTATTAAAAGTGATGTATTATGGAAAAAATGAAGTTTTGCTACCATACAAATTGTTGATGTCTGCCTAATAAGTAAATCTTTCCAAGTTGTGAGATCAGAAACAGCATAGAATGATTCCTGAAGCCTCGAAAATTGAAGAATTTTGAAATTTCATTTTTTCATACTGGGTGTTTTCATTTGACAAGCTATCGATTTCAGAGTTCTGAATTCATGAAATTCAAAATTGGTAAGAAGGTCGGTTTCAAGAATTGTCAAATTGTTCGATAATAACCAGGAAATCGAAGAAATGACCAATAAATTCGATATTGTTCATGATTGTTTATTTTATTTTCATTATTTTAGAAAATCAAGGTTAGATTTGGTAATGTGTTTCGCTTCATTGATAGCAACAATACGATAATGTACTATCACTTGATTCAATTGCGAGTAAAATTCGGACCCATTGACTCAGATCCAATATCTGAAAGACGTCTACAAGATAACCTTATACGTGGGTCAAAGATTCTGAATCCGCTTCGAACAAAATATGCATGATTTCAATATGTACAATTTTTTGCTCAATTATTTAGACCTTGTCATATCACCAGTTTTCCCAAGAATTTAGGTACTTTCTATTATTTCATATTATTAAAATGTCAATAGAGAGGTACACCACCGAGTTAAATTACACTAAAAAAGTAACAATTCACAATAGCTGATATATTAAGAAATGTTTTTTTTGTAATCTGACTTCGAAAAATAGCATCATTCAATGCCTTCTGGATAAGTATGATGAATCCTTGCAATATCAGGTATTTCTGGTATAAATTGTAACGAGTGTAACATGTGATATATTGAGCCAACACATCGAGGCATGAAAACAAGATTCAAATAACATATAAATAGTTTCGATGAGAGTCAATGGATGCTATTTTCTATATCACTATGGTTTGAGTGAATATAATAATAAGACATATATTCTACAATTCTCTTTTTCAATTTTCCTGATTTTAGATTTTGGAGGTTAGATTTTCTGTTATATCAATCATAGTCGTAGAGGGAAAATATAAATATGGAATAAACACCCAGGGCAATTACGGCACTTTCCTCAGAACAACATAAGTTATAAACATGAAAAGTATACTTGTAACATCTTTCCGATGACAAAATAGACACATATGGATACACTTGTTCATAGAAAAACAAAATTGTTTGAAGCTACAAAATTTTTGTAAATTCAACAAAATCTGAGTGTCATATATCCACGACAAAATACTTTGTCACCGCAACAAATGTGTTTTGTCAGTTTTCAATTCAAAATTAATGATTCAAATTAGCAGCAGAAATTGGTTGAATGAACAAAGATTATTTTGTTCCTATAATACAATATCCTGCTCTTATGAACGATTTTGTTGATTGTAATGATAATATCATTTCATTCAAGTGACAAAATTCTCAGTTTTTCAGAGAGTGAATATGTTAAAATAACAATATACTTTCTTCGATCAACCAAATTGTATTCAGAATTGACAAAATATTTTGCTGAATAATATAAAAAAAATCCAATAACTAAATTTTAAAACTTAGAGAAATTAGGGATCAATTTCTTCAGTTGATCAAAGACTTTATTAGCTTGTATAAGCGTCATAAGGAAGTCTAGGACAGCCTAATATAATTATATAAACGGATGTTTTAGGTAGGTATATGTACACCCCAATCGAGGCGAGCGTAGGAAGGTTGGAAGAAACGCCACCTAGTGGCAAAAATGCAACTAGATAATCATTCAACAAAATATTTGTTTGATATATTGTTTTTGTGGGTTCTGTTCAAAAAAGTAATTTGTTTGAAATAACAAAATATTTCTTGATAGTGATGTGTTGAATCAACAAAATATAATGTTGTCGAATGAAAAAAAAACATTCGATTGGTTGCACAATGAAATGATTGTTGACTCAACAAAATATGATGTTGTATTTAGTTAAATATTTGTCAATATCAATGTAATTTTGTAGAATAGACAAAATGCATATGATTGATTGAACAATGAGATGATAGTTGGATCAACAGAATTTGTTTTATGTCAACTATGAATGTTGTTGAATGAAATGAAACTTTTGTTCAAGTAAGCAAATATTTCAAACAAATCATTTTGTCTCTTTCAATAGGTTGCCTATTTGGAATCAACATATATTTTGTTAATTTCGCAGAATGGGGTTCAATTTAACAAAGAAAAAATGACCAAAATTATTTTGTTGGTGAAACAAAACTCATTTTCCGTGTAACTAGTTCGATCGGTATTGAAAACGCCTTCCAATGATATATCCTCAGTTTCGTTCTCAAATTTTCTATTTCATTAAGTACGTAGTTTTGCTCTCTTTCTACATGATAGTTTCACAATGTATTTTGTGTCATGATAATAATGGATTCTCTTTTCAAATAGTCTGTTTCGTAAATGGGTGGAACAGATAGATTCTCTCAAACGGATCTTGAAATCTTCTGTTTGAAAATTGGCGTAAAATATATATAGTGTCATCCTAATCTGCTGTCATAAGAAGTCAATTTCAATGTATGTACTTCACAAATTTCTATTGTCTCCAAATCAATATTCCATCCAGAGGCCGTTTCATGAATTCCTTCTACAAGAAAATGGGGTAGATATTTTCTTTGGCGAATTAAATAGATGAAATCCATTCTCTTCAGAATCCAAACAATTCATTACACCGCAGGACATTTTCATTCATGCTCTTCCCTCAATAGTTCATGAAATCATATTCCAACTCTGACTTTTAAAGTATTTATTGTCAAATTCAAACAATGTTCAAGAAGAAGCTCAGAATGACTATGGTGCTACCGTCACAATGCAAGGTTCCTAACTTAATAAAACGAAACATTCAAAAACCCTAATAGTTGTCATTTCTATGTCCGAACTCTTATTGGGGGTAATACATAGAAGATAATGTTCTTATCAATAAATATATGTTCAATTGCATTGAAGTTTTATTGCCATCTGGCAAACAATCGAGAATTGAGGTAGTGAAAAAATCCCATGATTCGAGATTTTTTGCCAAATGACCCCTTGAGCCTACCAGAAAGACCTAAAAAAGAGGCCTTGAAGACGCACATTTCATTGGAAAATGTACATCTTCAACACGGCGTCACCCAGGTGGGAAATCAGCAAATTATCAACAAGGTGGGGTCTGCTGTACCCCATAGTTTGAAACACGAGGGAAAAAACCATTAGGAATATCTTCAGATTTTTATGTGAAATGAGTTTTTAGATGTATTTGCTTCATGTTTACAAACAGAAACTTTTTATAATAAATTTAATTCAAGAGATATCATATCAAAGACTGTTAAAAAATAAACAACATTCAATTCTTTAAGATTCCATGCACAACTAATTTCCGAAATGTTTAAGTTATCAGCTAGAAAAGTAGCATTATATGAAAAAAAAAACATACATGATCAATTTTCATATGAGAATTTACATTTATATCTTAGAATGAAATGCATATTTGTGTTACATATCAGGTGGGGCTTCCCAGTTCCCAAAGCTGTTTACTGCACTATCACTATCTTGGTAGCTAACAAAAGATTGAATTCGCACCGAAATAGCACAAAATGAAGTGTTTCGGAAAGCTATAGGCAACCAAAGAAACATGCATGCATTCAAAATGAAATGCCAGTGACTTTAAAGTTGTCTGGCTATCTGAGACCCCACCTGGGAAACGCTGGGTTAAGACGTCTTAGAGACGTCTATGAGACCTAGAATGTAGGTCTTAAAGACGGATTTTATATCGACATTTTCATAGCAGTCTTGATGGAATTGTCAGACTATATCAAAAACACAGATTCACTTGTCATCCCACAATAGTTCGGATGCTTGTTCCTTATCACTTTGATGTATCCATCCAGACCCCAGTGAGTACCCCAAGAGTTCTTGATCAGCCAGTAATCCTGTCCGTTTTCAGTACCATATCCCACCAGCATCATGGAATGATTAGTTCTCTCCGAACACTTCTTGTGGTACCACACCCCACTCTTGTAGAACTGCCACTTGGCAGTAACGTACATGCAGATGCTCATTGGGCCATGCTTAGCAACGGCCACCTTCATCTGTTTCTCGGGATCCACGGAGCTCTCGATGTATTTTAGGCTGTCGAAGGTTATGTTGAGGGTTTTGTTCTCGTATGGGTGGCATTGTCCCCATTTCTGCTGGTAGGGGTAGTCGGATTCCCGATTGATGCCGTGTTCTCTGACGAAGTTGAAGGCGTCTTGTGGGTTGCCTCCATCGCAGGTGTCATCGGAGAAACAATCGACGACGTTCTGCTCGCTAAGTGAAACCAGTTCGCCTGTTTTCAGGAAGTGGTAGCTCTCTAATACCTGCACCTGGAGTGTAATTAAGGTTTGTAAATGACAATTCCAAGCATGTTCGTGAGAACCAATCAGAATCGACCATTTTCACGGTTCCTTCTGTATTACAGCGAGAATTTGTGTTCAGTAAATTTTATCAGACTCGCCCTACCCTGAGGTATATACAGGGACTCTAGCCCTACCAATACAGAAAGCGAATTGACCAAACAACCTCGTTTTTGAGCGATATAATTTTATGACATCTAAAACGTCGGTCATGTTGTAAGCCAGAATGATATGGATGCAGTGTGCGCAACTCTCTGGAGGCGCACGTTTATTGTTTCAATCATGAACTAGTCATACGAATACAACTGGTGATACTATTTTTCCTGGAAATATCCGTCGATTGACATACTTCACGTTAATGCTTCACTTTCGTTCATAACATTGTTACAAAACTCTTCGTCTATGGCTCGAAAGTTCTGATAGACAATGTCATTCGCAAAATTATCAGGCAACAATCTGTCGTAGCAATCGTCATATATTTCCAGCAAAATAGTATCACTTGTGATATTACATATGAATAATAATATATAAATATGCTAACAAGATCCACATTGACAGCGTTGACCTGGCCCATCATTATCAGTTCATATTTTACTGAAAGATTTGGAAATTCTGGAAGAGTACGCGAGAGTACTATCATAATGCAAAGCTGTGAATGAGGCAAGTAACAATGTTGGTCCCAATATTGGTCCTTGTGGAACGCCAGAATTGATGGCAATGGTATCAGATGATACTCCATCGATCTGCCTGAAAAAAAACTAGATAAAAGATGCCATGGCTGAGGTGGAGAGGTATTGATGGTAATTTGTGGAGTAGTCGTTGGTGCCAAAGACTGTCGCATGCTTTCGATTCCAGATGTCTGATGAGCTAAAGTTTGATGACTTTCTCAATCAAATTATATATGCCTTTGAAATTACAATTTCATTCACTTCAGAACGTATGACAAATCATTTTAGTAAATTTCAACAAGAACCAATTCTTAAGACAAACAATAGAAGGCACAAAGTTAGTCGACCACAAGAATTACTTAAATAAGAAGTGCAACTAGTTCCGGCCACAGGCCATCATCTGACACAAAATTGTTGTATTAGAGAAATAACTAGAAGATATTATGGAAACAGCTAAAAGGAGTCAAACAAGAGCCAAAGTTATAATTATACTAACCTCCTCAATATATATAACAAAAGTTCAGGAATTATCTGATTGGGTGAAATATTTTCAGCAACTTCTGCAGGGAACTTCACCACTGCTTCCTGACGATGGAGAAATACTTCTATCAAATGAATGTAATAAATATTCAGACCTAGACTCCTGGAATTTCTAGAAGAGTAATTATTCGATTCCAAATGAGCCTAGTATCAGATTAGCCGATAGTGATCCATTGTCCAATGGTATTTTTGTTTAGCATCGTGTTCTATCTGAGAAATTTCAATGTATAAATAATAAAACTATTCATCCATAACCTGTCACAATGGAATCAACTACCCTCTACATTCTTATTCCGAACGCTGATTGAAGAACTGACTCGTCACTGACATTTATGACATTTGACATTTGTCGAAGCTGTCAACATGGAATATGAATTCTTTGATCTCTGGTAGAAGTCCATGTTTGCTCAAAGTGGAGTGGAATTTTTAAAGGAAGAAGGAGATGACTTTGAGCTTTCCTTCTTCCTTTACGAATTCTTTGGGTTAGAAGACAGGAATAAAATCGGTTCAGAAACTTGAGAATGTTAATCCGTTAACGTAAAATCTTCGATGAAATGGATATTTTCGATTTGAATGCAGATTCCCTAAGTTATAGTGCAGTGAATGAAAGCGGTGTATGTTTGGTTGATCAGACAATCATGCATTGATAGACAAAGTGATCATCAATAGGAATCATCAACGATCAATTTCATAAAAATTGAACAAACTCGTTGATACTACGTTGGCGGCAAGTTATATACTTGACGATCGAGCTCATTCATGTGAACAACAGTCATATTATTCGAGAGATAAAAGGGTATAGTATGTATAGGCATTTTTGGACTGGTGACTCACCGCACTGAAGATCCAACAGGACCCACAAGGCCCTTGGTCCTTGACCGGCGTAACAGCACCCTTATCCCTCCAGTCAACCTGATCAGGCACGCCGCTGACTACTCCTGGGGTCGAAACGTTGCGTCCATACGGATTCGGCTGGTCAAAATTCTGCTCGTGAGGTTGACTGAACAGGCCGTATCTTTGTTCAAATTCGCCAGGCGTGAGGTCTCCAAAACCGTTCATGCCCTTTTCAAATAGCTCAGCCTTCCTATTGAAACGCTTATTGTGCTTTCTGATTGCTTTCATGTTCTCCTTGAAGACCTTGAACCTGAGGCGCTCTTCCTTCTTGGACTCGTAGGATTTCTTGTAGCGAAGCTGCAAGCAAATCATCATATTGTTGGGGAATCTTCTGAGTATATTCCCATATCCAGATCCTATCATCCTTCTACAATGCGAGTCGAGAATTTCATTTCCTTTGTTTGAAAGAAACATATAGCTACAGCGCCTCTCAGATAGATACTACTAATGTGACCAGTTAATTAGCTCTAATGAAGTGGCAATACCTAGAGACTGAATAATATATAGCCAGTGAAGCAAAAACAAAGAGACCTTTGGAGAAAAAATAAGATTCGCTCTCCTTCAAATCATCCTCCTCATGTATGGTTTTGAGAACTCAGAGGATTAATAATTGTAGTTGAGGGAAGAATATTGAAGTGCTCAAGTTATGTGAAATTGTAACAAACGAATAACGAGACAAACCCCTCCTTGAGAAAGGTTTCATCGCCATATCATTCACAATTTGTTTTGCTGTTACCTTAAACTCCCTCCATTCTCCTTTCATAGAACAGCTAACTTCATACAACAAGAAACTTAGCAGCAATACATTGAACAGAAGACACCTCATTTTTATTATATTTCAACTATTCAACCACGAATTGGATTATAACCAGTCACCATTCAGCTATTGAACCACTGCGAAATAATATTTTCATGCATTACAGTCTGAGTTATTTGGACTTCGCGTATATATACATGGAACAGAACAGACTAAAGTTTATGCGATACTTTGTACTCGAATATCATGACTGAATACTATAAACAAAACGTAGATGATTATTTCAATTCAGACGTGATTTCATTCTAAATTGTAACATCCAACTGATTTGATAAAATTCTCGATAATATAAAATATGCGACTTCTCCGTATCAATATTTTCATTGAAGAGATAATGCGAGGCCAAAATAATAAATAAAAATGAGAGAGGCATGATAAGGTGATGAATAACTGACCAGCAAAATCAACGCAACAGGAAAAAATACTTTCCGTTAGAGACTTCTTCCTATAGCCCAACCAAGGTAGCACAGGTTTATGAAATGACCCCATAATGACGTCTTTTCAAGGTCATTATTGGTCCAGGTGGCACAGTGTCCTAAGAAGACGTCATATCACCGAATAAAAAACTCTGTGATTATTTTATCTTCTCATCGTGTCTATTCCACGAAATTTCAGTTTGCATATACGTTTCTCTACAACGTGAAGCTTTATTTACCAACTTTCAGTACGTTGCATCTTTTATTACGCTTATGATGCGAACTAATAATAACGCCACGATCGAACAGGATTACACCTGGAGGGACCAACTCATCAATTAATCTCATCAAAGGTTAGTGGTGTATAATTATGTTTCTGTTATTCCGTATGCTCATGTACCCTGAATCTTTTTTGATATGGTCCTTCATAGGTCATTTCTAAAACGCCATTTCGACGTCTAATTATGACGTCTTATGGCTGTCAATCCAATTTCCAGAGACCGAACACGTAATGGACACAGATGGTTCGAAAACATCGATTGGAGTTGGAGCCAGTGTGTTCAGCAAAAAACCGAAGAAGGAAATCTCAGTCGTGTCGGTAAGTATGCTATAATCTTTCAGGCAAAGATTTTGGCAATTGGAAAGGTGATCGAACGTTGAGGGCGCTGTATCAAAAACAAGATGGCGGCGTTATCAGAGCACTCTGTTTACATATTTTGTGTGTTTTGCATACATTTTATTCCTGCTATTCAATCGTGTCAATTGTGTTAATTCTCGAAGTTATCACAGAAAATATAAAAAATCATTGTTGAATCATCATTACATCGTGTGTGTGATAATGAATAGTTTCGACACAAACAAATCCAAACGTTGAAAAATATCGATTTTCAACACCCTATATTTCTGTAATCATCTCCGATAGACTCCAAGTGTGATGTATTGATGAAATCAGCTCTTCAGGGAGAATCTGAGAATGCAATAAAATACAGGGTATTCTATTAGGAATAACGAAGTTGTTTGTTTCTTTATGATAGAAATGGCCACAATGCATTGCTGAAAATCGAGGCCAAAATTCATCATGGTCTGATGTTTAAGTGCTTTTATGGATTTCTGGAGATCCCATGTACAAAGTTTTATTCGTCATTTCGAATGAAAACAAATAACGGATTCAACTAAATAATAAAATACGTGTATCTCCAAAATCATAACCCCTAAAAAGATTGAGTACGCCACTGGATCCTTCGCAAAATTCTCTGTTAGACGTAGTAACTCAGCACAACCTTATTTCTAATAACTTCGTTGAGAAGCCTGGCAGTCTAAACCAAAATGTACATTCAAATCTGAAACACCCTGTATGTCTCCTTGTGCATTTCACATTTCTCGAGGATTGCTAGATTTTTTCGCTACTTCTGACTGTTAAATTCTTTCAAATCACAAGAGATTTTTGTAAAAATTATATTTTCAGCCTGTGTTTAATTTTTTCAAATCGTTAGACTTTCGAAAATGATATTGCCAGTATCCGTGTTCAATTCTTCATCTTATATTTTGTATATTATATATATTGTATAATTTCATTATCGTCATAAGTCATAGATACATCATTTGTTCGGGATTTAATCAGTTAACAGCATGATTCAACCTATTAGTCATTCATTCGAGACCAGGTGGTGAATCAAGACAGTCTTATATTAGATGTCATCACGTACGGTCGAATATTGTGATCGCAATTGAAAAATACGCGATAGGAATTGTTTATAGTTCCAAACGAAGTGTTCACTTGAAAATGAGTACGAGTGTAGTGTTTTTGTATCCCTCATACACTTTAGTGATGACATTTTCGCGATCGTGTGCTGTTCTGGTGTTTCGTGTTGTTTCATCAAAGCTTCGCCTTTCTCAAGCTGGTAAGTGAATATAAAGATTTTCTGTTTTTCTTCATATTTCCCTGTTTATATTAAACTTAATTACCTTATATGTTTTCGAAATAAGAAACGTCTGTTCGTTGAACGTTGAATACTCTCAAGATAATAATTCTAAACGAGCAAACCAGAAGAAAATAAGACGATTCAAAATTTTTTCATGAAAAAATACCTTTGTAGGAAACACAGGGTGTTTCAGATTTGAATGTACATACTAAACCTGTAGATAGAGGAAACCTTGGTGGTTCCAATCACTCCCTAATATGGATGTGTCTCCCATCTTTCACTCGATCTGTTATATTCAATGTAATATACAGGGTATGTCACGACGAGCTTACACTATCTTTATATCGATGCATGCTTATATTTCAGAATACGCTCTCTTCATGTAAAATATTTTCGACAATGCAGTGCTGCCGCTTCTACTAGAAAGTAGTAGCAACATTGATATTTTAAATGGAATACCATGTATTTCATAGCATTTTCAGATTCTGCCTAAAGAGCTGATTTCATCAATATATCACATTTGGGGTCTATCAAAAATGATAACAGTGATATGGGGTGTTCAAATTCGAGATTTTTCAAATTTACGATTTTTGTGTGTCGAAACTACAAAACTGCTCACATGTCCCTATCTCAACTTTTGATTCACTATTGACTGATATTTGATCGGAACAGATACAGGGTGGTTCAAGATTCAGAATTCTGATCATCCTGTGTCTGTTCCGATTAAATATCAGTGAATAGTAAACCAAAAGTTGAGATAGAGGGACATGTGAGCTGTTTTGGTCGATAATGAATAGTTTCGACACAAACAAAACCTAAAATTGGAAGAATCTCGATTTTGAACACTCTATATCTCTGTAATCATTTCCGATAGACCCCAAGTGTGATATGTGTAATGTCTTCAAAGGATCGAGAAATGATGAATAATAGTATTCTGAAGAAATATATATTGATTGACAGGATTCAAATTATATAATGTATGATGTTCACAAAATCCTACTATACATTGTTTTCTATTGATTAACGAAAATAAATAAGGAAATAACATATATACATATATAACAATATGCATCGATGAAATCAGCTCTTCAGGAAGAATAAAAATACAGGGTATTCTATTTGGAATAACAAAATTGTTGCTACTTTTTGATCAAAGCGGCAACAGTGCATTGCTGAAAATATTTCAAATGGAGAGAGCATATTCTGAAATATAAGCTTGCACATTTTGATGATTTTTTTCATGGAAGATTACCTTTTTCCTATACAGTATACAGGGTGTTTCAGATTTGAATGTACATACTAAACCTGTAGATACAGGAAACCTTGGTGGTTCCAATCACTTCCTAGGGATGTGTCTTCCATCTTTTACTCGATTTTTCATAATCAATATAATATACAGGGTATGTCACAACGAGCTTACACTATCATTATATCGAGAATCAGTCGGGAGAAATCATGCTTATATTTCAGAATACACTCTCTTCATGTTAGATATTTTCGACAATGCAGTGTTGCCGCTTCTACTAGAAAGTAGTAGCAAAATTGATGTTTTGAATGGAATACCCTGTATTTAATCGCATTTTTAGATATGGGGTGTTCAAATTTTTAGGCTATAAGCTTCACTTCGATGTGCATATTGAAAATGCTATTCAAAGAGCACAACGAAACTTGGGTTTCATTCTGAGGGCCACACAATCTTTTGAAAAATCAGAATCGATAATAATTTTATACAACTCGATAGTTAAATCAATTTTGGAATATGCCTCGACAATTTGGAACCCAATTTATGGTACTTATGTAGACAGGATCGAAAATATTCAACGGAAATTGATCAACAAACTAAACTACAAGTTCAATAGAACTCGGCACAACTTTTCGTATGAAAGCAATTTAAAATTTTATAAACTTCAACATTTACGTCAGAGAAGAGAGTTTTCCGATGTTTGTCTGATATACAAACTATACAATAACCTTATCGATTCCAGATACTGTCTTCACCACTATGTATCCATAAATTGTTCTCCTTATATCATCAGAAATAGAAGTCTCCTTTTGACTCCTGAAAGTAGAACAAATTACGTTCTGAATTCTCCTGTACACAGATGTGTTAAATCTTGTAACTCAGCTCTGAGTGATAATAAAAATAGTAATATTGATATTTTCTCACAAAACCTTAGACAATTCAAGAGATGTCTGAAAAAAATTATTTATCCATAAGTTCATGAAAAAACTTATATGTTCCCTATTGATTACACCTCTATTGTTTCAATATATACTACTATGTTTTCTCGTCATTCCATGTACATATGATTTGAAATATTTTGAGAATCATTTGATTATTTTTTCCACTTTTTTCTTTTCTTAAGCAACGACAACTTGTAACTATTGTTTATTTTTGTAATCTTTGCTACTCTATTATTGGTTTTCTGACCTGTTGAGTGGCCTCAACTTGAATAAATGAATGAATAAATGAATAAATAAATAAATTCGAGATTTATCAACTTTAGAATTTTTTTATGTCGAAACTATTCATAATCGGTCGAAACGGCTCACATGTCCTTAATTCAACTTTTGGTTCACGATTCACTGATATTCAATCGGAACAGATACAGGGTGGTTCAAGATTCAGAATCCTGAACATCCTATATCTGTTCCGATTAGATATCAGTAG